AATCACAACGCATTTTGACCTCTTTGCGTCGCTTCGGTAAGAGACCTGGTTTCTTGCCCCTTTTCCCAACTCGTTCAGGTGCAATCGGTAGCGGCGTTACTCCAACCGAGGTATCGACAGTTTGATTTTCGGTAGTTACCAGGGCACAAATTGAAAGCTGTAGGTGTTTTGAAAATGTTTAATCAACGCCCTTGCAGCGTTGTAAAGTCCCTCAATTCGTGTACCCTCTCTAGTAGCTGCGTGAATTGCGTGTACACACGGGAACTTTTCGTCCCGCCAGTTGCCGCACGTACAGGTCATTTCAACAAGATTCACAGATCTCTATGGGTGGATATATCCTGGTGTTTTGACAGGGTCGAGATTTTGAACCGAGTAAACCCCTAGCATGCACGGAGTCGACTGGGGCATTTTAGCAACTTCACTGCGATCTGTCTGCTGTTTCTGTAAAATTGGAATGAGGGCAGCCTTTTCAAATGTCTTCTTGTATTCATAGCCCTCTTGTCGTCTTGTTGATAACAGCTCACTTAGTTTGAGGAAATATATGTGAAATGTGTCCAAAGGCTTAGCACTGCGAAGTTCCTTTCCCATCCACGAATTAGCTTGCTCCGAAAGGTTGGATGTAATCTCGTTAAATGTCGGGAGATTATACTTCTCCAAAAACCTGTACTTAACCCAGTTATCCGGGTTAAGAATGAGGTTCTCGTGACGGTCTTTCTTCAGCAAATATTTAGCCGCGCCTGGCTTACTAAGTTTAAGCTCGCTGAGAAAATTTTTTGTAGTCACTGTCGCAGTCACTGCGGTCGAGCTTGCAGATAGTAGCTCTATCGTCAATTGTTATTTTGTTCTTGGCTCGACTGATGTTGTCCATAATGTGCTGGAGACAGAACCTCAGAATCGCCTGAAACGGCCTGTAGGCTGAGAAAAACGCAAAAAAACCTAATAAAACGTGCAAATTATGCCCGAGAGCCGTGTGCCCTCGACCCGGTAAATCATAAAACAAGGCCGAACATGACGATGATCCGGATAATTAGACTATGCCCGGATACGACGATCACTACTGCACGCGCATCATTGGTTAAACATTAACCAATAAACCCTTGCCGTGTAGCAACTGTTATGAAGTGCACACGCGATGGCAAATTGTAGAATGAGATTTCAGTTATTTTTTCTAGCTAGCTGCAGCTGTACTCTGTTGTATCCTGCCTACAAACTAAGTATTGACAAATTCAGTCCTGCATTCTAATTGGCTCTTTGACAAATGACGTGGTTTGCTGTTTTCGTCATTGTCAATTGACGTATGAAGTGTTTGACGAATCATGTACTGTGTACACAAATACGTCCCATGACCTCCTTTTGAAAAGAGGCCTACTTGTTTGGACAGTTTGGTGCGATATGGACCACAGCCTTGCATCGGTGGCAAGTGGCCGTCTTCTCCCAGTCCGAAGAGGCTTGAGCCGGGCGTTGCAGCCCATGGTCGAAGCGTAGTGCCAGCTGAATGGTCTCTTCCAAAGTAGCTGGATGGTGTTCCCTGAGATGGTTGTTTGTCTCTTTACGGAGACCTTGTTGATATAGAACCGTAGTTCTAATGCTGAGATGAGCATTTAACATTGTATGAGAATGTCCTGAAAGGCGCCGATGTAGTCATGTATTCGTTATCAGGGGGAGGAAGCGCTTGCGAAGAACGTGCTTGAATGTGGACCACGAACGGACTATGTTCGCCCGTTTGCAATCCGCTACGAACTGGCGATACCAGTTCATAGGGGTAGATGCCAGATGGCACGAAATCATCGTGACAAACGATGGTGATTCCTCCACCATCAGAGGATGATAGTCAGCGTAGTATTGTTCGATCGTAAAGAACCGCAGCTCGAGGTTCTCACTCAACGTTCCATGATACTTGGGCGGCTCGGCTTTTCTAGCCGCTGGAGGCTTGGACGTGAGGGTCTCGAAGCGAGCATTTTGAGCAGCTATTTGCTCACGGAGGCGTGACTGCTGCTGCGAATAAAACTGCAGCATTTCGCCGAAGGTTTGAGGGGTAGGGATACTGGATCCGTCCATGCCGATGCAAGAGAAACGCAGAAGGTTTTGATCTTGACGCGACTGTCTTGGACAGCGCGAAGGCTTGGACAAAGTCGACAAGTGCTACTATGTTATGAAGTGCACACACGATGGCAAATTGTAGAATGAGATTTTAGTTATTTTTTTCTAGCTAGCTGCAACCGTACTCTGTTGTATCCTGCCTACAAACTAATTATTGACAAATTCAGTCCTGCATTCTAATTGGCGCTTTGACAAATGACGTGGTTTGCTGTTTTCGTCATTGTCAATTGACGTATGAAGTGTTTGACGAATCATGTACTGTGTACACAAATATGTCACAGCAACACACAGACACGCAGTCAGTAAGCAGTTTCTGGCCACACGATTACACACTCCTAGATTGGACTTCGCCGACAGCGAGGCCAGAGCCTCACTCTACCTTTTGGCGACGCTACTGCTCAGATCTCGGCCCATGGCTCCAAGGTTGTACAGCAGCACGGATAGCACCGGTTTAGCCCCACCCCTACCCTCCACGACAGCGTAGCTCAATGTCTAGATCCTAGGGCGATGTCCTTGGGATGCTGGTTCAATTCCAGGCGTTGTCATTGCTTTGTTTCGGTGGTGAGCGCTGTCGACGTCACAGCAATTGTCGTTGCCAGGTTCCTGTCCACTGCTGGAGCTGTTCGACCCCAGATTTTGCTTCTTTTGAATGTTGAAGAAGATTATATGGGCTCGCTAGTTTGATAAACGTTATTGCATATGAAGTGTTTGCAATTCGCAGGCTACTTCTGCGCGCTATTGTCCTACAGAGTCGTAGCCACGGGCTTTAGCAGATCATGGTGATCCGGGTCTTGGAACGCGCCATCATGAATTAGCTTGCGGTGGCGCGAAATCCGGTCGTTGAGCGCACCGGCGACGTGAAGATCGCGTAGGTGCTTGCGGACAGCGGTGGATCGGCCCGACGAAATATCACGCTCGCGGAGGAAGTTAAGCACCTCGTTCTCCGCCTGCTTTCCAAGTGCAAGGTGTCGGTCGCGGTAGTCATCAGCCCTTGGGTCAAGCACAAAACCTTCAGCGATGAAGAGCTTTCATGTACGACACGAGCTGCTTCGCATTCGACCGCTGCTGCTTCGGCGCGTCAGAAAGCCATCGTGGCTCCTGAACGTACCACGTGAAGGTGAGTGACGGAGTCCGTCGGCGCTTGTGTGCTTTGTCTTGTTCTTGTTCTTTCTCGCGCTGACGCTTGTCAAGTTTGTGTTGCTGTGTGTTGCTTTCCGCTTTAGCTTCTAGGATATCCATGCGTTCCGTCTGGCGCTTAACAAGCAAGACTAATTGGTTAACCACACTGCGTTGATGCTCGAGGATCATGTTCTCTTGGTTCAGTCGCTTGCATGGTGCAGATTCAGTGTCTTTGGAGCTCTGTGTCTTCGTATTGCAGGTTGCTGAGGCTAGATGCGTCGCCCAAGTAAGCCATTCCGCAAGGGATGACCATGCCAGCTATACACAAGCCTCCAAGCGCTCCACCGCTGGCCCCTCGCGATGAAGTTCCTTCAATTGCGGATATTGAAGACGAAAGTAAGCTGTTAGTACATCAAGGACACGCTTGCTCACGTTGTACTTCGCTTGGTCAAGCTTGAAACAAGCTGCAAACAGATAATGCTGGACAGTTGCGATCTTCTCCTGCGTCGGCGGGTCGAAGGTCTTTAAGTCCTTCGCGTCCGTGCAATATCCACTGAGAGCCTTGCTAACATTGTGATCTTCGCGATTTGTGTTGAAGATGTAATTGAAGCCCTTGTTTGTTGCGCTCATGTTCCAGGTACCACGGTCAAAGATCCAGTGATGCGTGAGACCTTCGCATCCGTTGATGTGCTGTACTCCACCCCAGCAAAAGAAGTATAAAGAGAGAGAGCAAGCTTGACGCCAACAGCGGCAGCGATCCGGTCAAGCACTCTGTTGGTGTCTTCTCACTGGTAGCAGAACCCGTCGAGACTGCTGCAGCAGCGCCAAGAGCAGCGTACTCATCAGGGTGGTCCAGCACCTCCTGAAGAGGCGTGGCTGGGGACTAGGAGACGGTAGCTTGGACATCCAGTGGCGGGAAGTTGTTCAGCAGATCGTCGCGTGGAGCGGCCTGCGTCATGAGCGCCAGAGCGATAGCGTACACCGGGCAGTGACGAAGTCCAGATCGGGGAAAAGCGACAATCCTTGCTCCTCGGACGTTTTGAGCCGGATGAACCGCACGAACAGGATGTCGGCGTCGTCGATGGTGAGGTTCTGCTTCTGCATGAACGACAAGTCAGACGCGCGTCCAAACAGGTACCACAGCATGCATAGTAGCACAGCGTCTTGATAGTCGCTTGACATAGACGCATTCTTAAACAAATAAAGCATCTTCTTACGTAAGTCTGTCTTACAGCATGGTGGTTCCTTGCCCACGATC